GATGCTATATAAGAAGATATGTTGAATTTAACTGCTAACAGTGTTTGAACATGTTTGTCATTGGATAAACGTGTGTGCTAACCAGAGCTATTTCAAGTATATAATTACTTTTTCTGAGTTGTGGTTTTCTGTTACTAATCTAGGCCGCACTATGTGGAGAGCCCCTAATGTTTACAACCTAATTTGACTGTTAGAACAAATTGCTTTGCAGTTAATACATTTGCACTGTCAAATCACTGTAAAATTGTTATAACAATTGTAAAATAATAAAAATATAGAATAAACTGATGATCTTTATTATCATATTCCCCTCAAAATGTCCACACATTTCACAATATTATTGGTATAGTTAACTAGGTGACAATCTGATATTGTGGTGGGCCTAGTATGGTGTTCACAATACGTCGTACAATAAAACTAGATTAAGCGAATGAGTTGATTGAACAATACTGCATCAAAATGTATATTTTCCGATGTCATTAATGATGTCACTAAGACACTCAAAAATGTTCTAGTTCATAACCTGCTGATCAGCTTTTGCTGTGGAGTTTGCATGCGTCTGTTTAATTAGTGGTACTAAATTGGCCAAAGGTGAAAATATGTATGGTTGGCGCCCTGTCCAGGGTGCTCGGTGTCAGTTGGGATAGGCTCAAATCCTTCTGTGCCCTGCGATTAGAGGTTTAAAAACACTCTACTTACTGTGCAAGAAGCTTTCACAATCAACAGAGATAAATCACTATGATGAAGTGCATTATTATATGTAAGGGTTTAGCATTTGAAGATGTGCATTAAGTGGAGGAATTTGTCTGTTAATGTGATCATGTGTTTATATTCTACTGTGTTGTTGTGGCTTATTATCTCTGTTTCACAAACCTGTGAAAACGTCTCTAAGCCTGCACTCTGTGACTTGTTATCTTGTTCACAAGGTAGATGCTGATATGAAAGTAAAATTGCGTCTTCTCCCCAGGGAACATCTTTCATTTTTGCTAACAAGACACCGGGTTGCATGTTGTGTCTGTTGTCACCACATCTGGGTGGAACTCAGCGGGGCAGCCGCGTCATTCCCCCTCCAGAAACAAAGGGTTTAAGACCGGCGATGTGTCTGTGTGACTTCGTATCACAGAGTTTCTCAGAATAGGTAATTGGTCGTGTCTTGAACACGATGAGTGTCGCTGAGGTACCACAAAGTATCTCAGAATAGATAGCAGGTTAAGATTTCACTATGCTGACTATTTCTCTATGTGCTTGCTGTCAACATCTCAAAATAGATAATTGATTTTGACACCACCATGCTAAGTGCCTTTATATTGGCTTAGTGTCCTTATGAAAAATGGAGAACAGGGCACAGATAATTATTTCTGATATCTAGTATTTGCGAGCTCTCTCCAGTATTGTGTTCTTCCTGTTTTTTAAGTGCACTGATGAAAGCACTGAATCCTGGTTATTTAATGCAGTCATTTTTTGGCTCAAATTACAGTGGACTTTTGTTACAGAACAGCTGCTTCATGTGGGCTCAGATCCCACAGGAATAGAAGAACCAGTGTCTTTTGTTAACATTTTTATGGCCCAATTAGAGTCTTGTGAACTGTTCATTTACTTTTAAGATTTAACAAATGACATTCATGAAAGTTTCTATTTTTGGAGAGTTTGACATTATTTACACCTGGGTGAATTGATAAT